CAACTCGACGGCACATAACAACAACAACAATAACTACCTGTAAGAACCTTCCAACAGAGAGCACTTCCAGTAAGACTGAGGAATAGGCAGACAAGCGACAAGGACCCTCTTCAACAAAGAAAAGAAAAACCAATTGACAGAGATGCAGAAGATAATCTGGAGCCCTGAGCTTTGAAAGGAACTATACAGAAGTGGATTAGGCACCAACTATTGGAAAAACCTGAACAAGAACAGTGAGTACAGAGATGGTCAGAGCCGCAGACTGTGAGCTACTCTGACAGGACCAATAGCCTGAATATTTCCAAGTGGTGTTGGGACCTGAGGATTGACCTAAAGATCAGCCCTGGTCACCAAGGGCTGCAGGGACGACTGCACTGATGGCCTGTGACTAGGAAGAGAAACAGCAAGGAGGGAGACAACCTGAACTTTCCACTGTCCAGAGGGCACAGCCATTTTGAATGTTTACAAGTGGTGGCCATTTTGGATATTTAAAGTGACTGAGGGCACAGCCATTTTGAATCTTTACAAGTGGCAACCAGTTTGGATTTTAAAGTGATAGCATTCTCATTCAGATTCCAGGGATCTAAACATAAGCTCTGTTTGCCAGTGTCGGCAGGGACATAAGAAAGGCTAACAACAGGAAAGGAGACAGGTGGTGAGTTGTATAAGTGCTGTCAACTAGTGAATAGAGGAACCCAGCACAGTACCCTGCTTGTGTAGATAACATACAAACAAAACAAAGAAAATGAAAATCATGGGCAAGTCACTCCAACATACAATCACCAATAAAATATAAACACAAAAACATCAATGCCTCAAAGACAACAGAGCATCACAGTCCACACAAAGAAGCAAGATAAAGCAGGAGAGACAAGGGACCAGGATACAGACCCAAAACACATCCCTGAGGAAGACGCAGCATTGGAACTCCCAGATAAGGAATTCAAAAGAATTATATTTAGGTATCTTCAACAAATTGAGAGACAGATCAAGGAAAACACTGACAAAATTGAGGAAAACACAGAGAAAACCCTACAACAATTTCAAAAGACAATTCAAGAGCAAAAGGACAAAATAAATGAAAAGTTAGAAATCATACAAAATCTACACACAGAAATTCAGAAGATTAATACTAAATTTTCAGAAATAGATAAGACATTGAGTAGGCAAGAGAGCAGAATTGAATCAATGGAAGACAGAATTAGGGAGAGTGAAGGTAAATACCTAAACACTCCTTTGGAAAGGGACTAATCAGAAAAAAAGATCAAAACAAAATGAAGAAAGCCTAAGGTTCACATGGGATACCATCAAAAGGAATAAGCTATGTGTCATTGGAATTCCAGAACAGGAAGAGAAAAATAAAACCAGAGAAAATTGTCCAAGATTTGTTGGAAGAGAACTTCCCTGATATGATGAAAGATGAGAATATATCCATTCAGGAAGTCCAACAAACCCCAAACAGGATAGATCCCAAAAGAAAGTCACCAAGACATTTCATCATCAAACTCACCAAAACCAAAAACAAAGAAAGAATCATGAGATCAGCATGGAAAAAATGAAAAGTTACCTACAAGGGGCAACCAATGAGACTAAGCTTAGATTTCTCAGCAGAAACCATGCAGGAAAGAAGACAATGGGATGGTATATATAAAACACTGAAAGAGAAAAATTTCCAACCAAGAATTACAGACCCAGCAAAATTGTCTCTCAAATATGATGGCGAAATTAGGACATTTCCAGATAAGCAGAAACTAAGGGAATTCGTTAAAACCAGACCAACCTTACAAGAGATGCTAGAAGGAGCCCTTTGGACGGAGAAGGAACAATAGCCAACAACAACTGATCATTAACACACATGATGATATAACCCAGAAACCAACCCAGCTATGGAAGTATCCAAAGTAAATAAGCCTACAATATTGTAAACAGGGAACCAGAGACATCAATTGACAAATGAGGACAACTACAAACCAAAAAGAGGGAAAAAACTGTGTCATTACAGAACTTAGAAGTTCTAGAGATGGTAGGGGAGTCAAGACAACTACAAGATAGAATGGACTGTTCTAAACTTGGGAAGAAAACTAAATCATAGGGTAACCTCAAAGAAAAATGATAAGCTTTCACATCAAAATAAAAAAGAGGACCAGCACAAATATTTAGTAAATACTATAACAAAGCAACAAAGGAAGTGATAACACGATTCATAAAAAAAACAAGCTCAGCAGAAAATTATATGGAACAAAGAAATCAACACCACGAAAAAGCACATAACAAAAATGACAGCAACAAATTCATATTTGTCAATATTTACATATCTGGCAAGGGACTTATCTCTAAGATTTATGTTGTTGTTGTTGTTAGGTGCTGTCAAGTCACTTCCGACTCATAGCAACCCCATGCACAACAGAACAAAACACCGCCACATCCCGCACCAGCTCCATTCTCCTTGCTATACTTGAGCCCATTGTCACAGCCACCGTGTCAATCCATCTCACCGAAGGCCTTCCCCTCTTTCGTCAACCCTCCACCTCACCAAGCATGACATCCTTCTCCAGGGAATGGTCCCCTCTGACAACATGACCA